TACTGCGTTGCGTTGGTAGTGTGCTGTCGTGGGCCCATTGAACATGCTTCGAACAAAACTTATGAGTTTGTGCTCGATCAGGAGATCAAGTGTTTTGGAACTTCTGCTATTGCGCCAGAGGACTTGTCATGGGAGGCGATCGAGAGCTTTTTTTAGAGCGAAAAAGGCTAGATAGCTGGATCCTCGGTTCTCGACACTTCTTTCTCACATGTCTGACTATGAAAGTAGCATCCGTTGTGGGCCTTTGTGACAAAAGCCAATCTGCTCGTTTGAGCTCTGGACGTCTTTCAATCTTGAGTAGACTAACCGTTCGTGCAATTCCATCGTGTGAGCAGTCCTACACCTCCATCGTGTGAGCAGCCAGCCTGATCTCACGGTGGTCGGGTTGGAACATTCCACTCTTCTTCTGCTTGGATTGGAGAATGACGGTATGTTCCTCTATGCACTTGGGATTCCTTCTCCAGTGATCACAGAGATCACGGTGTTCAGGAATCCGGCAAGTACCGAATTCCGTGCTCGAGAAGTGCCTCAGTGAGAACCCCACCCGGATCAGATGCACTTCCAACCTTCATATTCCCGATTGCCCTAAGCACCTCATCTCTATCCTAAGTGGGATAAGGTCAGCCGTTGCCTCTACCTTGGAACTGTATTCGCGATGCAATACTTCGTTCGGGAACCTGTCAAATCAGACTTTCTCAGGATAGCATCCTATCTGTTTTTATAACGGACTTTGCCGTCCGATATCCTGAGTGGCCCGGTGCCGCGGTAGACGAGCTTGTCTTTTGCTCGATCATCACGCTTTCCTACAAAGTGTCCATTTCCGACCTTTTTTGCCATAGCTACAGTGCCTTGGCGAGCTTCTTCAAAGTTTCGTAGGTAGTGATCTCTGTGATCAACCCGCGTGACAACTATACTCGGATTCGCTACTTTAGATCTGGTGGCATACTCACAAATATTTTTAGCCTTAGATTCGCAAATATTTTTGGCCTCAGCGCACAACCCACCCACTGTAGGTAGACTTTCGCTGAGCTTACGCATGCATAGCGCACCTTAGACTTTGTTTGTTCTATGACTGTCTCGTCATCAAGCTTTCGTTGATCGACTTATGAATTTATCGAAAATACCGCTCGCTGTGAAGCGCTGCACTCTGCTGAAGGGTTTCCGTTTCATTTGTTGACCCACTCCTCAATCCCACTCTTTTTCCCCGGCGTCTTCACTGTGACGAAACCAGATGAGTATTGTTCTGGCCGTGACACCTCAAACTTCATCGATGACATGGATGCATTCGCTAGCGTGTGTGGCCCAGCTATGTGTGAGTGGAGGGAAAAGGAAATATGTTGGTGCCAACGAGATTTTTATGATCGGAAGCAGTTATATTCAGTCAAGTCACTGCATATTTCATCATCCTAGCTGCGGAAGAAAATATTCAAAAACTGAAAGTAAACAAGGGCAGTCAGTCACAGGCAACCTGCTGGAAAAATTTCAAATTCATCACGGACTCGATTGACATTTGTAAGGCATGGTGTTCTGCAACGGCAATGTCGATAAATTAGTGCTAATGTTTTACGAAGGAAGAACGGTCACAAGAAAACACTGAGGTGGTGTTTACATAGATTGCTGTATACCCATTGCCCAAGAAGAGCAGGTAAATCAAATTAAGCGCGGAATGGTGGAGCGCAGAGACTAGACCATTGTCAAAATTCCTTTCAAGCATGGCATCTCTACTGAATGTCAGACCGCTCAACGAATTGCGCCATCGAATTGAAGGCGGTCAGGACAATGCATGTTTCGGTACTTCACTTTCTTTTAATTTCGAACCGAAACTATGCTTACAGTAACAATCTTCTCCGAAGCCGATGTCATTGCCGCTTACGAAACGGACATTGGCTGTAGGTGAAACAGGGTTTGCACGCTGGGCCGAAAAGTGACAAGCGTTGGGTTTGTATGGATGGAGATGAGGAGGCACTTGGTACGACTGCTGCAGAGTCACGTAAACCCAAGCAACAACCCGTTGTGAAAGAATTTTAGGACGTGATGTTTTCACGACTATATACCACGAAAAGGCCGCACTGCTAAAGTCTCCATCACTCTTAACGATAATATCGACATTTGGAAGGCAGCACACAATTAGGAGAAGAATGTTATCGGCATGGTCTTGCCAATTCTCTTGCAGATCGAATTGCGCAATTTTCTGGGAAAAAGATATTAAATCCTGAATTCAAACGCATTGTTGCCCAACCTACTAGTGTGTTTTCAATTAAATTAGTCAACGGGAGGCAAGTGCAAGTGGGGATAGTTTGATAACAGGTCCGCTACCAAAACGGACCTTAACAACATCACATCCGCACTCGTTGGAGAAAAAGAAATTGTTTGATGCACAGGTCGCTGGGAATGGGTCGCTATCAACAGTAGGATGTAGTGAGATTATCAGTGAAATACCAGCTTCTCATCTTCTTTCCTATTCATTTTCGTTCGAAAAAAAGGCTTGAGAACTTTGAATGGGAGGAGCTAATACATAGGTAAGTGTCAAGTGCACTAGTCAAGTGATGTCACCAAGGCCCAACACCGTGATGATAAACTGTACAAACCGACATCAAATGCTTCTTATCTATTCTACACCTTTCGGTAGCAAAAGCCCATGCTCCTTTTCAAGCGTTCTTCTGAAGAAAATTCCAGCTATGGATCTAGTCATGGCTCTGTCTCCAGCTCGGGTCGAAGTCATCTGTTCGAGATAAACTTATGGAAAAAATCAACAGATTTCAAGTTAGTTTTTAAGCTGTTGAACCGAGATATTAACAAGCTTTATTAGGCTGACGTTTCGGTGCCTTCACCTTCCTTGGAGCCTGAAAAGACAAAAGGTATTTGAAAAACCATCCGATCGAGCAATATTTCAATCTACAATGGAAGTTTAACAGGCGTGGGCTACTAAGAAGTCGAAAGTTGGTAACTAACCC